CCCCTTCCTTAAAATGCCTCACGTCGCTGTGCTGCTCCCCAGAAAGATGAGCTGTATTTAAACCTGGTGCTGGAGTACGTCCCTGAGACGGTGTACCGGGTGGCCCGCCACTTCACCAAGGCCAAGCTCATCATCCCTGTCATCTACGTGAAGGTAGGCCGCAGGCCCGCAGAGGCCGTGTCAGGGGGCTGCTTACTCCTCCGGTTGGTCGATGGAGGCTTCTGCTCTCTCCTCAGCTCTGTAGCTTGCAAGTGGCTTTGGCTAAGCCAAGGCCAAGGGGGTGGGAAAGGAACTGCACCACACAGCAGAGCCAGTGCCACTGGGGTTGGGGCAGATGGGAAAGCGGAGCAGCAGGAAGGAAGGGTGTGCCCACCCAAGGAACCCGGCCGCCTCTCCCCCGTCTGCTGTGGCCTGCTTCCTCATGGCTTAGGTACTTTGCACCTGGCGAGCCGACGCCAGTGCGGGCTGTGCCAGCGGCTGCTGGGTCACACACACCAGGAAGGAGCTCTCCAGAGCTCACTCCAGTGCTGAGCATTCCGCGGCACAGCCGACTGAGGCCCAGGCCTTGCCCTGGAAGAGCTGTTTGGCTGGCATAGTGGCACGCACCTTTCGTCCCAGTACTCAGGATCTCTGAGTCAAGGCCATCCTGGGCTACTTCGTAAGTTCCAGGCCAGCCAGGACCCTGTAGATAGACCCTGCGTTTTGGTGAGGTGACAGGCAGCATCAAGGAAAATAATAAAGCTCAGGAGCTGCTGCTGTGTAGAGGGCCACAGGGCTTTCCTGCCTGGCGTGGGGGGAAGGAAGAGCAAGGAATGCTGGGAGGAGGGGGCCCAGAGGCAGCCTTGGTGTCCGGAGAACCCAAACTGGAAGGTCAGGGCTGCGTGCAGTGGCGCATGCCCATGGCCCCAGCACTGGGGGTGGGTTTCCAGTTCAGGCCAGCCAGGCATCCAGTGTAGGCCCATTCAAAAGAAAACCCCAGAAAGGTTCTGTGGGTAAAGGCGCTTGCTGCTAAGCTTGAGCACCAAATCCGGGGACACAAATGCTGTGAAGACACACCAGTAAGTCACCCTGATCGCCACTTGTGGTCTGTGGCACGTGTGTAACCTCCTCTTCCCCAGAGGCAGGCATGCACACACAATCAAAATGTGCCAATTAAAAGCAGATCAAAACTGAAAGCCTCACTTGGGCTGTAGTCCGTGGGCGTAGGGAAGGCAGGAAGTAGGCTGGAGCGCTCTGCACGGGTGCTGCTGTCACCCTCGGGAGGCGGAGGCCGCTGCAGCTGGCAGTTTTGGGGAGAGAGGAGGCAGAGTGCCTGGCCCCGGCCTGGGCTATGGCAGGACCTTCTGGTGTCACTCCTGAGGCCACGCCGGGGTAATGGAGCAGAGTTCCTTAGAGCTGGGAATGGGGCCTTCAAGTGATTGTGGCAGGCACTGAAGTTTGGAGCCAAGAGTTGAGGAATTGCGGCCATGGGCAGCCAGCATGGACAGCGGCCTCACGTGGGCCCAGCAGTGTGCTGTGTGTGAGAGTGGGCTGGGCTGAGCGCGTGTGCCCTGCCGTCCCAGGTGTACATGTACCAGCTCTTCCGGAGCTTGGCCTACATCCACTCCCAAGGCGTGTGTCACCGCGACATCAAGCCGCAGAATCTGCTTGTGGACCCCGACACTGCTGTCCTCAAGCTCTGTGATTTTGGCAGGTAGGTTGACCTGGCGCCTCTGGAATGCCTGAAGGGGTGATAGAGCTTGAGGCTTGTTTTCCTGCCTAACCCTGCCCATCTCTTCCCACAGTGCAAAGCAGTTGGTTCGGGGGGAGCCCAATGTCTCCTACATCTGTTCTCGGTACTACCGCGCCCCAGAGCTGATCTTTGGAGCCACAGATTACACCTCATCCATCGGTCAGTGGGGAGCTCTGGGCAGTGAGGGTCTCAGCGGTGCCGCATTCCTGCCGCTGCTGCCGGCACGGTGATGAGAGCCTGCTGTCTGTCCTTGCCGGGCTCACAGGCCACGGAGGCTGTGTCTGTGTCTGTCGAGAGCAGCCAAGCAGTCTAAGGCTGGCAGCCAGCAGCTAGCCAGGGCAGGCCTGAGACCTCCTGTCTGACTGGACTCCAGAGTCCACTTCACCTAGAACCTCCCAGTCAGCCTGTTCTCGGCGGGGGAAGAGGCTGGCAGCCACCTTAGGACTGTTACCGTCGGGGTACGGCCTGCTCCAGGGCCCATCTTCCTCTGTCTCAAGGTGGCATTACCCTCTTCCAGGCCCAGGGGAAGGGCTGAGAGGAGAACATGTCTGTGAAAAAGGGTTGAAGGGGAATGTCAGTCTGAGGAGCTAGTGAGGTCCGTAGGTGTGAACTTGGACATGCAGGGCAAGGTACAGAGTAGTGAGGGGAGGGCAGGCCAGGCCTCATCTCTTCCTATGGGCAGGCCGGAGGCCAGGCAGGGAAGCTAGTCCAGGATTGAAAGCTTTCTTGTGACCTGAAGTACAGGGGTGCCAGCTGGCAGGGTCCCACCTTGTGTGGGCCTGGTTGGGCAGGGAAGGGTTCATTGGGGTCAGAGGGCACGCTGGCTGTGAGTACACCAGGCCTGGAGAGCACGGCTGGGCAGGCGCCTTGTGTTGGACAGTGCTGGCAAAGGGGCGGGCTGTGTGGCTCTGGCTGCCCAGCGCTGAACTGTCTCCCTTCAGATGTGTGGTCAGCTGGCTGTGTGCTGGCTGAGCTTCTTCTCGGCCAGCCCATCTTCCCTGGGGACAGTGGGGTGGACCAGCTTGTGGAGATCATCAAGGTGAGGGGCAGGGCCCGGGGGAGCAGGGGAGGCCTGAGGAAAGGGCCCTTGCCTCAAAGCCCCTCCCCTTCTTTCACAGGTACTAGGAACGCCAACCAGGGAGCAGATCCGAGAGATGAACCCAAACTACACAGAGTTCAAGTTCCCCCAGATCAAAGCTCACCCCTGGACAAAGGTAGGGGCAAAGGTAGGGACTTGCACAGCATGGCTGAAGGGTGGGTCCCCTTGGAGGCCAGCTGCTCTGGGAGTCTATCTGGCTTGAAATTCATGGCTTGCGGGGCTGGAGATGGCTAAGTAGTTAAGAGCACTTGTTACTCTTGCAGAGGACCTGGGTTCGATTCCCAGCACCCACATGGCGGCTCACAAGCACCTGTGAGCCCAGTTCCAGGGGATCCTACAGGCATGCATGTGGCTAACACACATGTTCACAGGCAGACATTCATACACAGAAGTAAAGTTCTGGCGGGGGCAGTGTCTGAGATCACCCAGGGAGGCAGCCAACACCACTTTGAGATTGTGAAGTTTATAGAGTTTTGAAAGGTGTGAACCGATAGGTAAATACAGATCCCTGTTTACGGTGGCGACAAACTGAGTCTGGCATCAGGATCCATGAAGTCATGGAGCCCAGGCTAGCTGCCCGTCCCAGTTTCTATGCCTGTTTCCTTACGGGGGAGGTGGGTGTCTGGGGTTAGGGTTAGCACAGGTGGGCACGAGACGACACTCAGTGTGCCAGCACCTCCCCCTCTCACTTCCGCTCACAGGTGTTCAAATCCCGGACACCACCCGAGGCCATTGCACTCTGCTCGAGCCTGCTGGAGTACACGCCATCCTCACGGCTGTCCCCACTGGAGGCCTGCGCACACAGCTTCTTTGATGAGCTGCGGTCCCTTGGCACCCAGCTCCCCAACAACCGCCCGCTTCCCCCCCTCTTCAACTTCAGTCCTAGTGGTGAGAGCACAGCTTGGGGCCAGTAGAGTTGTCGAGGAACAGGGGGAGGGGCTCCGGCAGCCCTGGACTCCGGCAGGGCATCTCCACACTGTGACTGGGCACTGGCTGTTTCCAGTTTCCCACCCAGAAGTCTTGTGGCTGCAGTCCCCACCACCTGGCCTTACCAATTACTAGGTCCTTGCTTGGCGCCCCATCCCAACCCTCACTGGCTCCCAGATGCCCCGCCTCCCCCCGACTGCTGACACCAACTCCTGTTTGCAGAACTCGCCATCCAGCCGTCTCTCAACGCCATTCTCGTCCCTCCTCACTTGAGGTCCCCAGCAGGCTCCGCCGCCCTCTCCACGTCCTCACAAGGTAAGGTGGGGACCCTGTGCAGAGGGTTAAGGCAGCGCATGTCGAGTAGGGGCTTGTCCTTGGCTCCTATAGTTTCCTGCAGGTTTTAGTTGCTGGCACAGAAGGCATATCTTACAGTACAGGGCGGTCCTGCCCACATTTGTGTTTAAATGCTAACTGCAAGACCAAACATTTCTTTGGTCTGAACAAATAGACAAAAAGTTGCCCACATTTAAAGACCAGGCCATTATGGGTGCAAAACCAGATTTCCTGTTTCTTTGGGGAAGAAAATCAGACTCGGCAGCCATGGTCTGCCTTTCTCCTGACAGCAGTTGTGAGCCACTTAGTGTCATCTGAGTCCGCAACTGAGAGTGACAGCTGTCAGCTTCTTGCATAGTGTCTTGAAGCAGCGAGCCATGCTCTCTACAGAGGTTAACTGTCTGTTCCTTCCCCTCCTTCAGCTTTAACTGAGACTCAGACCAGCCAAGACTGGCAGGCAACTGATGCCACACCTACCCTCGCCAATTCTTCCTGAGGTCCCCACCCATGACCCCTCCATGCCCATCTGGGACCTCCCAGGCGGGGCTGGGAAGGGGCCGTAGCCCGTCAAGATCCTGCCCTGGCTGGGCCTAGACTAGAGGGCAGAGGTGAATGAACTTCCCCGGCATCTCGGCTCCCTCACCAGCCTCACCTGTGTGGTGGGCTTTTTAAAGAGGATTTTAACTGGTTGTGTGGGGAGGGAAGAGAAGGAAGACAGGGGGCTGGGGGGTATGAGGACCTTCTACCCCCTTGGTCCCCTCCCCTCCCCTCCCCCAGGCACTCCTTCCCCTGTCTCCCATGTCCCTTGTAAATAGGACCAGCCCAGCCCACCTCCTCTCCCCTTCCCTGGCCTCCTGGGTGTAAATAGATTGTTATAATTTTTTTCTTAAAGAAAACGTCAATTCACACCATCCAACGTGCCCTCTCCCTCAGCTGTACTTCCCCTCCTGTCTTCTGCTCCCAAGGCTTCCTCCCTCACCCCATCCTGTAAGGAGGGGACTAGGGAGAGCCCCTGGTGTCTTAGTTTTCACAGTAAGGTTTGCCTGTGTACAGACCTCCGTTCAATAAATTATTGGCATGAAACCCTTCTTCCTGTCTGGCTGCCTGTTTCTGCAGAGGTGACAGGGCTCAGGGTTTGGAGGGAGCTGCACCTTGGGCTGGGGGACACTGAGAAGCCGCAAACCTTATCTACCACAGACATGGAGCCTCCCGGGTGATCAGTGAGACTGGGCTCCAGAGTGCTCAGAACCCCAGCTGCAGAGTGCTGCAGAGTCAGGACCTGAACACAGGAGTGTGTCCTAGCCCAGTGCTCCGGGGTCCTGGCTGGAGAGTCCCTCTGGCCAGTATCTAACTGCCTGTGGACTCCGAGGCCGGGGGCATGTGTGGGCAGGAGGCTGCCCAGGCTTGCTCCTGTCTGAAGGGGCGAGCACTTGCTTCACTTCTCTTAGGGGTGTTGGAAAGTGGCCCCAGGCTCCCAAATACTGGAGGGCAGGCTTGTGCCACCTTGCCTGGCTCTTTCCCTTGACTTTTAAAATATGCTAGAGCCAGATGGCGGGGACCATGGGCAGAAAGAAGTGCTATCTCCACAAGCAGTGAGTGGGTGGGAGGCTCCAGAAAGGGAGGGGACATCTTTGGGTTCTCCTGATGGATTCTACTCATACACAAAAAGGAAATTTGGGACATGTCTGTGAGGGGGGTCCCAAGATTCTGAGCTCTGCGAGATGCTTACATCAGCCCCAGGGGAACCTTTTTGCCCTGCAGGACAGAGCTTACCCTCCTTTCCTCAAACCAGTTCGGAAGTAGGGTGAGCATGGCAGGTTTACGTTAGGGGATGGACGGACCCAGTGTCGCTGTCGCCTCCTGGCTGACTCCAGTCACCAAGGTGGTCTCGCCTGCTGACAATTCAACCTTTCCTGGACTGCTGCGAGCCTGCCCCACCCTTCCTGTGACACTGCCTTCACCTGCTGAGCCCCATTCTGCTTCACTTGGAGTGTCGCAGTCTGCAGAGGCCCGAGTAAGACCTGCCAACCGACCTCAGTTAACCTCCATATGCTTAGGGCAGGGAAGGACACTCTATGAAGATGGGACCCCTTCCTGTTTCCATGGGCGCCCAGATCCCAAATAATCATGACACTGCCTTCTCTGGGGGGCAGAAGTCCCTTCTGCTGCTTGGGGTTCCGGTGTTCCTCAGCCATGCAGACGGGCCTAAGCACGGTGCTCTAACATGAACACCTCCAGCCAGCTAAAGGCCTTCGGCAGCCCTCTGTCCTGTCCTGTTTCCTTACTTGTACAACATGGAGGACACCCACGTCTATCTCAGTGCTGAGCGTCCTGCCCAGCGCTGCCCTGGTTGGGTGTGCCCTGCAGCCCTGCCCAGCGCTGCCCTGGTTGGGTGTGCCCTGCAGCCCTGCCTGGACGGCTTGCCTGAAATAATGCTCTCCTCTGGCATGGGCAGTTCAGGAACTGGCACCACTAGTGAGTCTCTAGCAGGCCAGGAACCCCGAGACCCGACGAGCCTCTAGCCCCAGGGACATGGCACGTGCCAGAGAATCTGTGGACACACGGGCTGAATGAGCCACAGGCACTGTCCGCTTCGTGGCGAGCTGTCTGTACTTCAGACTGCTGCTCCGGCCGGGCTGAGCAGAGCTGTGGCTCCTTCCTGGGTCAGCGTCACCCTGTCTGAGCTGAGCACTGGGGTGACGGGTACGTACAGATTTCTCTTCATACTGTCAAGACTGAGAGGAAGGCCACAGAAACTAAGTGCCTTCCCGAGCCAGACACAGCTAGACCCCAGGCCCAGCCCAGCGCAGGACCGGGGGCGGGTTACAATCAGAAGGTCTGAGGAGGTATGTGAGCGCCTGGCACAGGTCTGGCACGCGGTTGGTGCGCCGTAGAGGTTACCTGCTGTTGCTGAGCACCAGCCGATGCAAAGAGCCTTGGCAAACCCTGTTCTGCAAGGCAGCAGCAGGGCTGAGAGCTCATGTCACTTCTCAGGGCCTCAGAGTCACCCTGGGCAGAGGAAGGTGACAGGAGACCTCTGGGAGGCCTGTCCCTGTTCTGAGGAGTCAGAAGTTACAAGAGGCCAGTGGGCTGGATTCTGATGGGTGGGTACCAGATTAGCTTGCCGGAGGGGTCCTCCTCTCCCGAGTGCCTAGACTCAACCTTGTGACCTTTCTGTCCCTGCTCTCGAGTTTTGTCACACAAAGGCCGTGTCCAGCTGTAACAGCCCACTGGCCTCGCTGGCCCCCAGGGCTGCCTGGCAGAGCTGCAATGTGTCCTCCAGCGCCAGGGGCTGGGACGTCTCGATGATGGCGATGGTCTCGCCAAGCTCCGTGCACATGATAGTCTGCTGCGGTTCAGGGGGCGGAGGCGGGACCGGAGAGGGTGACCTGGGAGGCTGGAGCGTCAAAGTCCTGGCCCGGGCATGGACCCGCTGATGCAGCCGGAGGCCCGCCATGGCCCGGAACCAGCGGCCGCAAGTCCCGCAGTAGTACGGGCTCTTGCTGTACAGCCCGGTGATGGGGAGGCGAGGGGCACGCGCAAAGGCCACGGGCCGGAGGTGCAGCCGCCGGTGCTGCTGCAGGTTGGAGCTCTGCGTGAAGCGCTTGCCGCAGTCCAGGCACTGGTAGGGACGCACCCCCGTGTGGGTCAGCTGGTGGCGGCCGAGGTTGGCCAAAGAGGCAAAGGTCTTGCCGCAGGAGTGACACTGGAAGGGCCTCTCGCCCGTGTGGGTCCGAAGGTGGTTGCGTACGTGAACCAGCTTCTTGAAGCCCTTGCCACAGACCCCACAGCGGTGCCGACGTTCCGGGGGGCCGTGAACTGCGCGCCGGTGCCGGGAGAGCCGGGAGGCTGAGGCAAAGGACTTGGGGCACTGTGGACAGGGCAGCTGGGCGGCGGGGGGTGGAGGTGAAGGTGTGGGCTCAGCAGGAGCTGGGGAGACGGCTGCCACCCGGCTGGGGGTTCCACTTTTCCCAGCATGAGTTCGTCGGTGGTAGAGGAACTTGGTCATGTTGCTGAAGGTCTTGCCACAGCGACAGCGGTGCAATGGGTTGGCGGTATGGGCCCGCCGATGGGCCACCAGTGTGAGCTCCGTGCCGAAGCCGCGGCCACAGTCCACACAGAGATAGCGGGCCTCTCCGAGGTGCAGCCGCTGGTGCTGCTCCAGAGAGGCCGCCTTCTTGAAGACCTTGGAGCAGGCGGTGCACTCGTGGGTGCCGCCCACGTGAGCCCGGCCGTGCGCCGTCAGCCGGTTAGCAGAGCTGAAGCTGCGTTGGCACTGGCTGCAGTGGAACGGGTGGGGGGCTGACGCGGGGCCTGATGCCCGGCGGTGTCTGCGGCGCGCCCCTGAAGCAGGGCGGTGCTGCGAACAATCCCCACAGCTCTGAACCAGGTCAGCTGTGCGCTTGTCTTCTGCCTTGTCGCCAGCAGGAAGCTCTGCAGCGGCTTCCTCCTCATCGGTCTCCTCCTCCTCCTCCTCCTCCTCCTCCTCCTCTTCCAACCCATTGCGCTCTTCCTTCTCCAGGGAGTCAAAGTGGGTGCCCTGATGCTCCAGGAACTCCTCGGGGGTGGCACAGAGGGCGGAGCACTCGGGACACTCGTACGGCTCCATCTTGACTTCTGAGGGCACGGCGGGGGGAGGCTCGGCGGCGCTGCTGGAAAGGTGCTGCGTCTTGCGGTGAGCTACCCACAGCTCGGGGGAGGGGAAGAGCTCCCGGCAGTCTCCACACTGGTACTGGATCTGGCTTGCGGCCTCCTGCAGGTGGGCGTCCTGGTGGGCCAGGAGCTCGCTCGGAGAGAGGATGAGCTGACTGCATTCACCACACTGGAAAGGCCCCTCTGCAGCGCCAGGCACCAGCTCCGGCCCCAGGCCCAAGTCCTGGGCGGCCTGTGTGTCCTCCTCTGCTACCACGGGCAGGTGCTGCTCCTGGTGGGCCAGGACCTCCTCCAGGGTGTTGTAGAGGCTGCCGCACTCGGAGCACATGAACTGGTGGTGCTGGAAGAAGAGGGACGAGGCCAGGGCCTCCCCTGAGGTCAGGTCAGTGACTGCTGTTGTCATGTCCGCCAGCTCTCCGGACAGAGGTGCGGAAGCTTCCACTGCTCCTGGTGACTGTGTTGGCATCTCAGCTGCCTCTGCCACCGTCTCTGCCATCACGCAGGAAGGCAGTGCCTGGAGAAAGTGGGCAGAGGCCAGTGGTGCACAGCAGAAACCTAAGGAGCGTGCACTGTCTCAGGAGACCCCTGCTCGCTCCACTGCTCGCCAGTCTGCCAGGCAAATCTCAGGTCAAAGTTTATCCCTCAGTCTTTCAAGATCCCACATCTCTGGGCCTGTCCCAGCCACTCTGCTCAGGGACCTGCAAGAGAATGGGTACTCTGGAACCTGGCCTCTGAAGCTACCCTGAGGCCCAGTGACACCCGTTGTGAAAACACACACACAGCTTCCCTTCCCCTCCCTCCCCTCAGTCTTCCCCCACGTGGTTTCCTCTTTGTGCAACACCGTCCAGTCCCACCCCACCCCACCCCCCGCCACCCCGTGTACTCACACAGACAAGTATTGAAGGGAGGAGTGGGCACTAGACTTCCGTCAGCTCGATTCTGCGCGCTCCTGCTTTACTTTCCCTCCGCACACACTTTTCTCACCTGTAAAATGGAAGCAAACCTCGGATTGACCAGAAAGCCTAAGGCACCTCATTAACAAAGCCAACACTTGGCTCGCACGTCGCCAGGCCAGCCTCAAGCTGTGGGAGAGAGGCTGCCTCTGAGGCGGGCTTTCTGCCTCAGCCTCCCGGCCCCGAAACCACAGGTGGACGCACTTCCCGAGGCCCTGGAGCACAGAGCCGTCCACCCTGCCACTGTCCTACCTCCTCTGTTCTGTCTGGTCTCAACCTAACCCCACCCCTTTCCCACAACTGTACCCCAGAGTTAGCCCCTGAACCCCCAGCCTAGGAACTAGCCACCTGATCCAATCCCTACTTTTTTCTTTTTCAGTTTTTTCAACACAGGGTTTCTCTGTGCAGCCTTGTCTGGCCTGGACTCACTTTTGTAGACCAGTTTGGCCTTGAACTGAGAGATCCTCCTGCCTCTGCCCCACCCCCCATTGCTGAGATCACAGGCGTGCGCCTCTGTGCTCAGCTCAATCCCCACACTTTAACTTTTCTTTATTAATTACAACTTATTCACTTTATATCCCGGCTGTAGGCCCTCCCTCCTATCCTCCACGTCCCAACCTTCAACCCCAACATTTTTAGGAGGTTTTATTTTTACTTTATTATATTTTTATTGTCCAACCCCCCCCCCCCCCATGCCTGGAGCTAAGATAGCAACATAAAAGGACTTGGTCCTCCTCCCACCACGTGGGTTCTGGGGTCAAACGCAGGTCAGAGGGCTTAGTGTCAATTGCCTTTACCCACTGAGCCACTTTGAAACACCATTGTTTGTTTGTTATGCTTATGTTACAAAGTCTGTATGCACGAGTAAATGCCGTGGCATTTATGTGGCATGCTGAGGACACCTCTGTGGAGTTCACTCTTTCCTCCCACATTTATGCAGGTGCTGAGGACTGAACTCAGGTCATCAGGGCTGCATGCACCTTTACCTCCTGGTATTTTCTTTTTTTGAGACAGGGTTTCTCTGTGCAGCCTTGGCTGTCCTGGACTCCCTTTCTTTACCTCCTCACTTCTGTGCCGTCTCTGTGCATGCCAGGAGCGGGCAGACTTTAGCTGCTCATGGAGGGCTCCCAGAGGGCAGGAATTTCAGTTTCCTCATCACCGAGGTGGTCAGGGTGGCCATCCTGCACACAGCATGTGCACAGAGACGTGCAGCGACTAAAGAGGACTCCCTACCGGAGGGTGTGAATTTCACAGCAGCAGCCCAGTACAAGGCCGTTTTCACTTGATACCCATATGCTCCGTGAATAAATGATTCGCCAAATACTCAGAAGCTAAACTTGCCTTGTGTACCAATTCCAAATCTCCCCGAGCCGAGTGGCTTTATTCGTTTTGTCTTGAAACATCTCACTCCGTGGCCCTGGCCTGTGTAGAACTCAATGCCGCGCCTCAAACTCTGGGAAGCCTAAATGCTTCCCCCTCCTCAGGGTTGGCAGAAAAGCACGTGCCACCACAGCTGGCTCCCCACGGAGTTTAAGCCCTTCCATAAAGGGTTTTCCTAGTTACAGCCCCACTAGCAAGAGAGACCTCCCTCCAGGGTTGGATCAGGACCGGCTACGTGGCTTGCTCAGGCAAGGAGCGGACCGACAAACTTTACAAAGTAGGGAGGAGCCCCCGCACGGGGAAACCTGGCGCCCACGACCCGACCCTGTGCCTCCTACGGGAACCCCGCGTCTCATCTAACGTCACCCTTCCGAAGGGCGCTCAGCAGACAGCGCGGACACACTCCGAACGGCCGCGCCTTGGCGAGCGCAGCCCCGGGACGGGGAAACTGGCCCGTTCCGGCCCGCATCCCTCACCGCCGACCCCCCCGCGTCGCGGGCCGGGGGAGCTGCCGATCCCCGGGGGCCGGGGGTCAACTCCCGCGACGCGCTTCCTCTCCTGGCCGCCGCCTCTACGGGCCGCGGGAGGGCCGCGGCAGGGCGGGGGGCCGGAGCGCCGCTGGCCGCGCGGCCCGGACCCCGGCGCAGACCCGCGGCCCCGGCGCG